GGAGTCATCATTGTTGTCATCACTTGTGGTAGTACTGCTGACGGAATCCTCATTCTGTTTGTGGTTTTTGGGGGTTCTCTTGCTTCTTCCTTGGCGGGGGCTAGAGGGCGATGCGCCTTGTAAACGTTTCCACGCATTATCACTCGGTATGTGCGACGTACGTACCCGGTCCCTTAATGATAATAATTGTTGTGAGAATATTGAATGGAACGATGATATGGCGAAGTGAATGATTGCTTGAGAGACTCAAACGCTTGACTATCTCAACAGGAAGAGCAAAAGACCCTGACTATCTACTGCTGAGAGCGAGACACAAAAGGTCGAGTGAACAATAACAATGACAGAGGAAAGAAAAAGGGAGAAAGAAGCAAGGGGGTATTATTAGGGGTAGACCAGTGATAGAGTTTGATGTAAAGGAAAAAGTCTATCGTAGCGTGATACCATAGTAGTATCAGAAGCATGTTTCAACAATAATCACGATATAATGATCCTTCAGTGAGGTGATCAGGCAAACACGAGTACGATAGAAAGATAATATCTACCTTCTCAACTAACACACCATACACACTAACTCCCCCTCCAATGATATTCGCAAAGGTATAGGCTGGGTTACTAAAAAAAAAAAAAATCACCAAGGTTTATGGTAAAACTATAGCGCGCGCGTGTGTGTGGTGCCATTCTAATAACAGCGTTTCAAGGTGGGGGAATATCTAAAACCCTAAACTCCAGACAAGATACAAGGAAAGAAGGAGGGAGCAAGATATAAGAAAACCATACATATAAGGGGATGGTGAAAAAGGGGGAAGCATATGTGACCAAATGGGCGACGGGTATATATAAGGCCCTTTGCCTCTTTGTTCTAGAGTTCGGCTCGGGGGTGGTTCAAGTCGGCCCATGTGTACAGTCCGTCTCGTACTGGTCTTCCCATGAGCATGTCGAACCGTTGGGCGACTTCTGAGTATGCGATTATGAATCTAGTGAAGAGTTAGCAGTTATAACGAGATCTGAATAGAGATATGGAGGTATACATGTATCTGGGAATGTTGTACCAACTCTTGATGACAAACAGGAATGTCTTCCAGACGAGGCCAACCTCTTGCCAAAATTCCTCACCCAGAGTCTGATCCTTTGGGAGCTCATCCTGTTTTTCTTCTTCGGGGGCGCCAGGTGTATCTTTGGATTTCTCAACCTTCATCTTTTCCTTCTTCTCAGGCTTGCCTTTCGTCTCCTTATCTTCCGAGGCCTTCGCAGATATCTTGTTGTTGTCTGCTTCATCCTTCCCATCTAGCATTCGATTGAACCCTTCCAGTGCACGCAATGAGTGCGATACCCTGCCGAAAGTATTGAACAGCGCAACCATTTCTGTTCTTCGTAGGACTGGGTTGCCATTGGCGTTCTTGCTCTCGTCAAACTCAAAGAGGATTTTCAAAGCAGTTCCGTACCCCTGAGTCTGAACCTTTCCCCAAAGTCGGCACTTGTCGCATCCGACGCAGTCCATCAATCGGCTAACATTTCTAAAGCGGTTTCTAAACTCTTCTTTTAGTCCAACCATCTCATCTCTAAACATCAATGACTCGTCAAAGATTTGTGGGGTGGTAGAGGCAGCGGTATTGGCCAATTTGACGACCTTAGACTTAGTAATGCGGTTCTGATAATAGTCACCCGAGCAGAAGGTATAGGTCGGTAGATAGTTCCTGAGTTTTGCGATGGCGCGAGCTAGTAGAGCGTAGTTGAAATAGATGTTCTGAAGGCGCTCGGGGTAGTTTTCGAAGCGGTTGACGAAACAGCTAAGGTTGGGCGACTACGATCGGACGTTAGCTCAATTTTCATCCCGGGAATTGAAAATTATAACTCACCCACTCTCCAGTGGACTGGTTAAGGTAGTCCCAGCAAAGATGCATTGAGATACTGGCGTGCATCCCCGAGATAACTCTATGGAAGACTCGCTTCTCCAAGCACTCATCGTCAACCTCCAGATCGTTGAGATCAAGCTTCCCTTTGTACTGCATGACATTCACAAATCCCATCGCGGCCTGGTTTCCCGGGGGGGCGAATCCCTGGAATCCATTCCCACCAGCCCCCACAAAACCCCCGGCAGAACCAAGCGAGCTCTCCCCGCGTGGTTTCGAAAAGCAGTTCTCCCGGTAGATCGCCTTCCAGACGTTCGCCGCTCCCACTCCCGCGTACCCAGTGAACCTCTCTGGATTCTCCGTCAAACTGACGTAATCGCCCTTCCCACCAGCCGACTCATCCTCAGGTAAACAGTAATCCCTCTCATCGCATTCGTCCTCCTCAACAACACAGCTCTCCTCGGTCTCCTCGCCCAATGCACCAGCCAATGGAGATGGCTCATCCGGCTGTCTGGTCGCTGGGTGACTTGCTTTAGGGCCTGCCAACTTCCCAAGCTCTTCCGCTCGCCATATCGGAGGAATATTCTTCTCGTCAACCGTCGTTACAGCACATGCGATGTTGCCGCACATTCCTTCATCGTCAGACCAGAATGGACATATTCGGCCAAATAGATCGAGCCGGTAATAGCCAAAGTAGTCCGTTTCTTGGGTTATATCGTTAACAAGTGGGTAAAGCTTCTTGTTTAATTCCTCGATTGTTGAATAAGATGCACATCCGTCGGGTACCAGTTCATTAGGTTTATTCTGTAATAATAGAACAATCAGCAAACCGATGCAAAACAAAAAGATATCAGAATGATAACTTACAGGGCAGATTGAATGCTTTGCGTCTACAATTGTGGATACAGATATGATTAGCGCGGCAAACAGCTGCTGTGGATGTTGTGCACGCATTATTCTTGGTGCTCTTCGCCGAAGAGTTAAAGGTTGTGTAGGACACGAATGCCGGATGGCGAGGATGTAACAGTAGATAATCGCTCCGAGGAAAACACACTGGGCGGAAAAGGCACAGCCTATCGATTCCTGAGAAGTCAGGGCAAGAGAAACGGGAAATGTAGAGAATAGTTAAAGGAGCGTAGGCTGAGGAAAGGCCAGATATACTGAGGGAGTTTGGACAGCGATGGGTCGGAAGACAAATCGAACGAGCGGTAGGGCTGCAGCGTTTAAGCAGGATTAAGATGGTTCCTCCTGTCAAACGACAAACGAGGTGGGATGAGGAGCACCAAAAGGTCGAGCCATCGACTCAGAAACCGTGCCACTAAAGGTATTTAAAACGGTTTCAAAGCTGATCCTGTTCCTGTCTGTCAGCATTAGTATTTTTCCAGAATTTCCCCACCCATTCTTCACTTCACTCTCCTATGTAAGCCGAAGGCCACGGTGTCATAGTTCGAGGAAATGTGAAACGAGGGATGACCGACAACCTCCCCTACTCGAGCACACAGACATGATGCTTGTCGGTGCAAACCCAGAATTGGGACATGGGATGTGGGTTATTCGCTAAATTGGAATTTCTCTGACGAGATTCCCCGTTGCCGCTTGTGTATGGTACCAGTTTGATGCGGGACGTCTCTCCACATCATGACATATCATAAAAAAAGGTTCACCGGTAGAGGAGATGCGATGATATAAGTAGATGGAGGCTTCGTTTCCCTTCGCTCTATACGTGTTGTCCTGATTCTCTGGTTGCATCTACTCTAGAGCACTCTACGAGTGTCGGGTATGAAGTACTGTGCCCGAAGATGGGGATAAAGGTTTGTTTGGTAAATCATCTGTTCACATCTAAGCCTTCACATTGGATTCGGGCTCAAAGTTTTCTGACCCTTCATGCTAAATATTGTGCTGTACGGACCCAATAGATCACAGCGGTATGCAACGGGCTCTAAGGTATCATACATACTACGAATTCATAGTGGAGTAGAGCACTGTACAGTACGTACCCAGCCTGCTTCGCCCTGCCGAGGAATTACAAAAACTGGTGGCAACCCTTTTGCCTTATTATATAAACCATCGTATTCAGACTGCCTTACTGTAGTACAACCGCACCAAGTTGAGTTATCCTGTACAAATTGAGTCTGATCAAACTTTGTTTCATTCAGAATACGGGCATCATTTCAAGAAAGACTCTAGAATAGCTAAGTTACATAATGTAATGAGCCTTAAGCTCGTGAAACACCTAAAGAAATAAACCCCCATACATGCCCTATAAAACCTATCGAGCTATGATAGAAACACAAGCAACACTAGTAAAGAAAAAAAAGGAAATAGATGACAACAAAGCAAAAACTAAGCAACCTTTTGTCTCTTGAACCCAGGCCCACTAAACCCATTTTCTCGCAGCTTCTTCCTTTCCAATTCCTCCTTCATGATTCTCTCCGCTTCACTCATAGGCCGCTTTGACTGTTCTAGGGTTCCACCCTTCCCATCTTTGTTCTTACTGTCTTTCTTCCTCTTGCTTGCGGCCGCAAACACATTTTTAGGTTTGTTCGGGGCTATTCTGATAGAGACCTTGTCCTTGGTATCAGGCTTGGCCTCTTCGAGCGGGGTATATTCAGTCGAATATCCGACTGGTGTAGGTGACGTAGATTTCTTCGCACCAAAAGCTAACTTGATCTTTTCACCCTCTTCCCGATTCAACTCTTTCGGGGTATCATCATTCCCGAGCTTTCCACCTATCTCCGCGTCCCTATTCGCACGTTCAATCATCTCCTTCAGCGCCTTCTGCTCTCGCTCCTCATCGCCACGGTCCTGTCGTTCCTTCCTCCGAACAGCCTCTTGCCTCTGCAGAGCCTCTGGAGAATTATCTATCCAGCCAACCATCAGCCCCCTCTCGCCCTCCTCAACTCTGCAAATGCCCTCACGCCCAAGGAACTTGATAAACTCCGAGAGACTCGTCCATCGCGTAGCATTCATATGAATGTGTTCCTTATTCACAATGTACTCCTGATAGAAGTGATTCGCATTGATTTTTTTTTCGCCGTGCGAAGTGCGCAGGAGCATTAAAAAGTCCCGCTGGAACTGGGTAGAGTAGTCGGCGATGTGCTTTTTCGCATTTTCACCTACGACGAGCATTTGTCTAACGTGGGATTCGGACTGTGTGTGGCATTTGAAGCCGTTTTCGTCGCGGCATTGCTTTTCGCAGACCTGGTGATGTGAGGTGTTAGTAGTGGCCATCGCAAGGGTGAAGGGAAGCAGGTAGAAACTGACCTGACAGTACCAGCGCAGTCGCTGGAGCCCCTTGGACTTCATGCGGTTGCTAAGGTACTTTGTTGATCCTACCTCGGCCTTGGGCATTTTGTCTGCGGTGTTTGTTTGAGTTGGTTGTGGGAGGTTGCAAGACTACAGAAGATATTTGAGCTGGAGTTTTGTTTAATAAGCTGGCTTTGTCACAGCGGATTTACGTTTCTCCGATAAGGTGATCTTTCTTAAGCCTTCCCAACAAAAACTCCCCTTTAGTATGATGAAAGACAATGGTGCCCGTATCATAACACTGCAACCGCAGCTTACCCCGACAAATACACCCAATCACGAAGTTACTGTATACCATCCTCTTGTTCGATGGCAGGTTTGTTAATTCCTTTGCCCTATTTACACCGATAACGTGGCTTACGTGCCCGCAATTGTAGCAATTCAAATCGATAGGGTAGCCCATGACCATCGCCATCGCCACCATCACGATTATGCACACGAGCACGGAAGTAGCCATGCGCATCCAAAGGGGATCAAAAGTCCTTCAAGTATCACAAAAGCTCTACTAAAGATGACGGAGGGGGTTCCTTTGGTTCACAGTATACTGATTGAGAAGGACTCGCGGAGGATTGGATACTTTATGTGGTAAGTACAAAAAGTATCTGTTGTCCAAAATATTTGCTAACTTTAATAATAGTTTGAATTTCGCGTTCATGATCGTTCAAACGTGTTACGGCTTTATGACCGGGTCTTTGGGCCTTATATCTGATAGTGTACATATGTTTTTTGATTGCCTGGCCCTTGCGATAGGACTTTGCGCAGCCGTCATGAGCAAGTGGCCGCCGAGTATGAGGTATCCGTATGGATTAGGTAAAATGGATACTCTTGCTGGATTTGCCAATGGAATTTTCCTAATGTAAGAACTAGCCCTAGCAACTGTTTGTGGCATCTTGCTTACTTGCTGGTTTCTATGGCATAGGTTGATCAGTGTGGAGATTGTGTGGGAAGCCATCGAACGTTTACAAGAGCCTACTGAGATGGCACGACTTGGTGAATTAATGGTTGTGAGCTCTATGGGGCTGGCAATTAATCTCGTTGGTGAGCGATAGCTACTTGTTCCTAATGGGCCTTGTTCTAAGATGTGGAATCTAGGTATTATGGCGTTTGACCACGCACATCATGGGCATGGCCACTCACACAGCCATTCTCACGGGCATAGCCATGCGCATGAGGATAGCCGTGATCACTTACACGGCCACGATAATCACCATCACAGTCATGATGGAGAACCACCGGCAAGTGCCCACAACGACCATGCTCACGCACACAATAGTGAGAATATGCACGGTATATTTTTGCACATTTTAGCCGACACTCTTGGATCTGTATCTGTGGTGATTAGTACGGGTTTGATCCATTACAGCGGGTGGACTGGATTCGATCCACTTGCGTCTGTATTTATCGCTGTTCTTATTTTCGCATCGGCGATTCCCTTGGTAAAATCATCCGCTAGTAATCTTCTTTTGACAGTTCCTGGCAACTCCGAGTACACTCTTCGGGAAACTATTGCTGGTGTGGGCGGGCTGAAAGGTGTTCAGGGATATACGGTGCCCAGATTCTGGGAAGTTGAGGGTGCAATCAGAGGTGTCGTGCACGTTCAAGTCGCCAGAGGTACGGATCCGGATGAGATTAGACGAAGAGTGGAAGAGTGGATTGGAAACGGTCTTGGAAAGACTGCAGAGGTCGTTGTTGTTGTCGAAAGTGGAGATGGCCGTAACCATTGTTGGTGTGTCGGAGCACAATGATAGAGTTTCGTGGCTCGTGGGGGGGACGAGTGCCTTTCCTGCAACCCTTCTGCCAAATGCCCTCTCGCGAGAGCAAGTCTGCGGGGGCAATTGGAGTTATGCGACCCAACAGAGTCAGCACTAGTGTGGGGGTACTGTATCATAACTATATATAGGAGCCGACTCAAACCAATATCGTACAATTAGACCAATTTATTACAAGGTGGATGTACAACTCCAGAGCTGTGATTCGGATGCTAGTTTCTTGGGTTTCACTAGCCAATTACCAACCCACTTGTAACAATAAGGTTCGCGGATGTATGAAAGGACTTCCCCGATGGATCGCTGCTGCAGCATTGTTCGTCCACGAGTGACAGATAGTGACTCACTCCCGCGTTTTCGGAACAAGCAATAGTTTCACGTTAAGTGGCCATACGGGCAGAGCTCGAGAACGCGGTCACGTATGTTACCCATCAGGATGTGGTTGAATGCGGCAAGAGCATCAATCACAGCGAGGGCTTCTTTCAGCACATGTGCGCTGGCCTGGCTTGCATTACTTGTATCACCGCAGCAATTTATACGATAGCCGCTTTATCGGACAAGATCCGGAACACCATTCTACCAGTTATCGGATCTCGTTCCAAATAAAGCGAGTTTTGTCGCATAAAAAAGTAATTGTGACGCCCCCTCTATGTCCAACACAATCCGGCCTATGGTAGAGCACACTTATAAATGCGAGCTGAGCTATCGCAGAGGGGTAGATTGGTTCCTTTTTTTCTGATCTGATGACACCTTACAGTTGTTTTGTAAAATTACTCTAGTAGGCTACCCTTGGGGACATATCGGTGGGATGTCGGAGAAGGCGGTGATTGGATGCAAGATAGCAGGTTTTGCGAGTGATGTCAGGTGACGATCTGTGCTTCTTACCCTCGCTTGTTTCTTGCTGCAGCGGGGATCCTTGCAGCCCAGCGCCAGCAGCCTGGCCCCCATTCTCCATCCCACATCCAATGGCCGATGTCAACTTATCCTAAGCCTCAATCCCTAACATTCCCTCCCTCCAAATCTTCTAAAAGCCCCCCACCCCGCTCTCGCATCTATATAACAAAAAAATTAAATATTGATAGCCCCAACGCCAGCAACAATGTCCTCGCCAGAAGGAGAGTTCCCAGACGTGAGAGCATCAGAGCTCGCCACAAAATCACTTGAGTACTTGCAATCCGGTCAACAAGATGTAAGCCGTCTCTATTCCTTCAACAGCGATTGCTTACAATGCTTTTTCAGCTCTAATATGCCGTTGAAATGAAATTAGGATGCTGTTCGATCCCTCCGTGGCGCTCTATCCCTTGCCCCGAAAAACGAAGCTGTCCTCGCTGCCTTCCACAGCTTCCAGAAGGACCAGGCTGTTTGCCCCTTGTCAAAGCTTTGTCAGAAATTGGTTGTCGAGAATGATGTGGCTGCTGGCGAGAATGCACTACGTCTACTCAGGGACCCAAGCTCGAATTTTCATACCACGACTGCCACGGAATGTATCGAGCTGTTATTAGCGCACGCGAAAAATATCCCTTTGCCCATCGGTGGGAAAGTTCTGAGTGAGATATTGCGTGCTAGCAGAAGTGGGAGAGAACACATGGCGGATTCTATTGGTGAAAATGCAAAGGAGATGCTTGAGACACTTGCAGAAATCGGAGGAGAGGCTATTGATGGGTTGGTGGTGACTTTACTCGATCCTGCTGCGTGGGAATCGGAAGCGAAGAAGAAAAGGTCAATAAGGGATTGTTTCAAGTTGTTTTTGGAAACACTCAATACTGGATCTGGTGAGATCGAGGCGTGGTCTACTCGTTCTATTGCTAGGCTTCTGGCTACACATGCCACGGAGCTTCACACGTTTATTGGCCAGGCCTCTTTGGAGCGAATCCTTTCCATGCTGGACATTCGATCTCCCGACGACTTGCGTTCCCATGCTACACTTGCCACTGCTAGATTTGTTGAAACAGATGAGAGCACTGCAGGCAGTATGTTGGGCAAATTCATTTCCTCGCGACTGGCTGCCAACTCGGATGACGATCTTCAAATTGCGTTTTCTGCTACTGCCGCTATTTTCCCGCTCGTACCGGGGGTTGCCGCGGGTTTGCTCTTGACTGAGGGGTTTGTGGAGGGACTTGCACCATCGCTTCAGGGACGGTCTTCGGACGTTGAGCGGGCGGTTTTGGAGATGATGAGTGCTGCTTGTGTCGATAAGGCCTCTCGTGCTGCGATTTCTATACACTGTGAGGCGTATCTTGAAGCTATTATTCGGGGTGATGAAAGCTTCAAAGGCGTCGCATCTACCATTTTGGCAAAAGTTCGCTATGGGAGCGGAGATCCAGGAGTTGCGCCGAAAGGCATCGGCGAGCTTGCTGCCGTATTCCGGGAGATGATGATTAAGGACGATGTTGGATCAAGGGATTCGGCTATGGAAGGACTGGCCTATGCTACCCTGAAGCCATCTGTCAAGGAGTCACTGGTAAAGGATAAAGAATTTTTACAAAGGTTTTTGGAGACTCTTAAAGATTCAGTCGGGAAGTCAACTGTCATGTACGGAGGCCTCACAGTAGTAGCCAACCTTACGGGCTATTTGCCATCATTATCGGAGGAACAGAAAAGGGTCGCTCAACTAAGGAATTACGCAAATTCCATGCCACAAGCCAAACCCGAACCTGACCCAGCGGATAAAGATGAAAAGGTTACGATGAGATGCAAAGTCCTTTTGGAGGGAGGGGTCGTCCCTGCCTTGGTAGCTTGCAGTAAGAGGGTGTCCCCCAGTGCTGTCGCCATTATCTCTAGTATATTTCTGTCACTTTCAAAGAATCAGAAGCATCGGGGGCCAGTGGCTCAGCAAGGCGGTGTTAGGTTACTATTGCAGTTTTACGCATCGGTCACCGGTAACTCCGAGCAGGATCGGAAGGTTAAATTGTCGTCGTCTCACGCATTAGCCCGAGTCTTAGTCTCCACAAATCCATCCCATGTTTTCGGGTCGCAGCTGCCTGTCGCTTCAGCCGTGAGGCCACTTTTAGCCCTACTCGAAACCAACGAAGAACAAAACGATCTGTTACCTGTTTTTGAATCCCTTCTCGCTCTCACTAATCTCGCTTCGACCGATGATTCAACCCGGGACTTGATTATCCGCGTTGGGTGGTCCAAAATTGAGGAAACGTTGCTTTCAAACAACATCATGGTTCAAAGAGCTACAATGGAACTGCTATGCAACCTCATGGCTTCCCCCTCAGGAGTTGCCAAGTTTGCTGATGGATCCAAAACTGCGAGTAACCGACTCCACGTGCTGCTTGCACTTGCAGACGCAGAAGACTTGGCGACTCGGAGAGCTGCAGGTGGGGCATTGGCTATGCTGACAGAATGGGACAAGGCCTGTGAGGCTATTGTGAGGAGGGAGAAAGGTCTGGACATCCTCCTTGGGATGGCTATCGAGGAAAACGAAGAAATGAGGCACAGAGGTGTTGTTTGTGTTAGGAACTTGGTCTGTCAAAAGCTAGAATATGCAGAAAGATTCCGGAGAAAGGGTGCGATCGATTTGATCAGGGACTCCCTTCGTGGGGCTCGAAACCCCGAGGTCCTACAAGTTGGCGTGGAAGCATTGAAGGCACTTATGGAAGGATAAATTGTATTTTCTCTATTGTTCTCAATTTTCCCCTCTTAGATTTTTATTATTATTCGATGGTTGGGGCTCGGGAGCAGATTAGATTGTAGGTATGGGTCGCTTTAGATTGTCGGGGTTGCATTCAGCGGAGCGCGGAGAGGGCATGTTGATTTTGCGGAAATTCTATTTGTCTATCGTTTTTTCTCCTCATTTCTTGATATGATATGATATCTTTCCCATTTGTTCTCAGCATACTTTGTAGTGGGGGACACTTGTTTGCGCTGTATGGAGTGGTCATGGGGGGGGGGCCACGGATGTGATGTGGGTGGGAGGGGTTTGTCTTGACTCGCATAGCCTTCTTATCGTCCTACGGTAGTCAAATCCAAGATTGATACCGTACTCCAATTTCCCCCTTAATATTGTACGGTACAAAGCGCCGCACCCCCGGACCGACTCTCAGCTCGAGAGACACCATAACGACGGCATTTGATGCAGTGCGGGTGCCCGTCGATCCTTAGCGCCCTCC